AAAATTAAGCCACTATCATGAGAATCATGAAAAATGCCTTCCTTGCATTTCTTTTGTAACATCCATTCACCAGAACTGCTTCTAAACTTTTAACCTCTAATTCCTAATTGTCAGAACGCTAGCACCCTCACTGATTTGTTCTCTAGAAAATGATTCCTTAGGCTTCATGTACAACTTGCTCAATCTTATATAGTTAACAGTCCACTTAGAGGCTTCCCAGGGGACTGACAAGCCATGAGCAAGTAACACTGTATAAAATAATCTGTTCGTTTGGCATGCGAATTCTCAGCAACATGACAACTGTGAATGGACAAAAATAATCCCAAGATACAAAGGACAGCCCACTTTTCCTTGTGATGGTGACCAAAGTGGTGATGATTAAGGGTATGTGTGCATGTATGTATGTGTGTGAGTTTGTGTATGTGTGTGTGTGTGTATTCTCAAACACACACAGACAGTGGGGTGAGGAGTGGGAAGAGAGAAGGTTAGAGCTAATTGTATATGGTAGAGCTTCAGATATACTTTTTTTAAGTAATATTTATTAAAATCATCTCCTCTCTCCTCCCATAGGCTGACACCTTAAAAATGTGTTCAATCAAAAGCAATATCTGATCACAGGGTTTCTCCAAACCACAATTCAATGCACTGTGGGGTAACTTTGCTGTGAGGATGGCAACATCTGGGACTGGAGGTAATGATCAATTGACCTTCCAGAGCATCCTTATCCCTTTGGGTCAATCTGTGCATTTAGATTCAACCCACTAACAATCTGAAATATCTTCCAGATCCTTCCTGTCTTCTCCCCATGTTCTCAATTCCACCAAGTCTTTTCTGTTAGCTACTGCCTGAGGTGTCATTCTTAGATTTTATGAGGTTAGTTGTTATTATTAAATTGAGAGAATACAGCTTGTTAATTTGTTATACATATGTGTTGATAAACTTTTTCTATTTACTGCTTCTAGCACATCCTGCAAGCTATTTATGGGCAGTACATTAACTATTTTAGGATATCAAGTCATTGGTCAATTTGGCTCCTATTAAAAGCTATTCAGACACAGACTTTTATTCTGTTTTACAGCTGTAGTGGGAATCTGGCTCATGCTATAGCAGTTATAATCTTTCACTAGCCTCCTTGGAAATTAACAGTATAACAAGTAAAAATACAATGTGTGGCAAAGGAGCAGTTTTTCCTTTTTAAGCAAGAAAACTGTGAAGTTTACAGGAAATTTGACTCTCAATATTACATATTATCAACAGGTTCTCTTAAAAAAAAAACCCAGTTAACATCCACAGAATAACTTACAAAGAAAACTTTCAAAACTAGGAAAATACTTTGGATCACTCAGCTCTAAGTATAACAGTAGTACACATCTAGCTGGGGTTTATACTGTGACCCTTGATGCTATGTTTAATCAGTTATCCTAAACCTAATGCAATGGGTTTAGTGCAACAAAATTAATAACACCAAAAATGGGTACCAGTTCATTGTTCTTTAATGACTTTTTGGTGTTCAGTGATGTTTAATATAGGAAAAAAGAAAATTACAATAAAACTTTAAAACTCCAAAGTTATTTTCAGGGAAAAGTTTGAGCACAAATAACTTTTTAAAATTCAAGAAGGGAGAATATATAACTTGAGAAAATTGATTTTTAAAACTACACAAATATAGATATCTATAGGGGAAAATGCCAGTTTTTAAAAACGTTTTTTAATGACATCAGAATCATTGGTGGAGATTAGACAGGCAGGTATAAGTCAAAGGATAACCTACTTACCAAATGCCACACATACACAAATCTCAGCTACTGTGTAGTAAGTCTGCTAAGCCATATTCCAAGATAAATGACAATAAGTTCCTAGGTCTATAGGAGAAACATTAATACCTAAGTAGTGCACATGGTGCCAAGCTGATTGAGCACCACAGGATGAATATTACAGCAACTCTAGACAATATAATTTAGGCATTAAAACACATATTTTCAGTTACTTAAAAAATTCTAAATTTCATGCTCAGAGCCTAAAAGTAGAAGAGTGAAAGGCTGACTAGCTATTTCAAAGAAGAAAGGCTACAATGATACATTTCTAAATCATGGAATTAATTTTTGGCTATAGTGAAGTGATTTTGCCTGAATTACCCATAAAATCATTTTATTTCCTCTTGAACCTAGCTACAATATTAAGAAATAATATTTTGTGTGTAACATGAATGGTTTTACATCTGGCAAAAAAAAGGCAAATAAAGGGATACATGGATATAGACTTTTATGCTAGCGAAGTCCTTATCTAGGTCTTTGAAGTCTCTGCTTATAATTGCCCTCCTTTTTTTAATTAATCATTTTCAAGGCTCTTCATGTAAAATGTTCAAAACACACTTTATAATCTTACACTAACTCTTATACCTATGTCATTTTTATAGCTGATCAATATTTTATCCCTAAATAAAAAAACCATACTCTTCTCTATAAATGCTTCCACAAATAAAAATAAAATACTTCATGTTAAGAGAGGTCATGATTTACAAAGCCAAAGCAATGAAACGTGAAGTTTTATCAGTGGTTCTTGGACTTGAGCATATGCAGCACATGAGGTGGAGAACACAGAATGTGGGTCCCACCCCCTAAATTTCTGATTAAGAAAGTCTGGGAGAGCCCAAGAATCTGCATTCCTAACAAGTTCCCAGGTAATGCTGGTGTTGAAGGGTAGGGGTTCCCACTTTGAGAGTCTCACTTCTGTGATGTGGTAAGATATGTGAAAAATAATATATAAATATATTTTTTCACCCACCTAATAGCTATGACATTTATAACGACTAGCGATGCTGACTAATTTTCACACAAAGCCAATTCTATTCCTAGCTAAGTGACTAATAACCACATCAATATTAAAAAAAAAAAGACCACCAGCTTCATCACAATGATCAATTCAGTAACAGAAATGCCTCCTTCTTCATTGTCAAGCAACACAGGCACAGGACTGTTTTGATGTAATTGTTCCCTACTTGTCTCCACTCCTAGATCTTACACTTTTCCACTGCCCAACATGAGACTTGCCAGGACAAATAATCTGAATGACACAAAGTGACAGAAAAACGGAACTCTGCATTTCTAATCCAGACAGTTCCCATACATCCTCCTCTCCCCGGGTTCTCACTTCACATTATCTCCTACACACACATACACACAATTAAAAAAAAACACTCCTTTTATTTGGGATGATCTGAACCAAAGGGAGAGAAATAAAGACTAGGACAAGCAGAATTCAGAATCTCTCATACCAAAGAACAGCTCCCTAAGAAGGCTCTGTCTGCAGCATTCCTCCATCCCCAGAATCCCATCCACTTGCAGCTGCTGGACATCAGAGTCCAGCTGAAGTCTAAAGAACACTAAATGAATTCCTGCTCTGCTCAAGGCCCCACCTCCTGCTATTAGCCAAGACATCAGACCTTCGAGGAGTCTCAGCATCTCTCTCCTGCACACACCACCACCAGCCGCAGCAGCACCACCGCCACCACCACGCAAGCTCCCTGTCTTTGGGGAAAGAGAGAATGAAGATAAAGGGGAAATTAACATGCTTAGAGGTGGGAGAGAGTGAAGACTTCTTGGCGACAGCCAAGTAGGGAAGTAGGAAGACGGCAAAGGGGAGTGCCAGATGAGGTGCAGCAGAGGCCAGTGCAGGCTGCTCGGGACCCTCTCCCCGCCACCAGCTCTGCTCAGCACTGGCCCAGACACAGTGGAAAGTAAAGGCTGGGTCGATCTCCCGCATGGGTTCCCAAACTCCCGCCCATTGCGCGCTCCAGGTTCCCAGAGAGTTTGAGGACTCAGGGTCCTCTTGCATTCGTGCCCACTCCGCAGTCACTTCTATGGTCCGCACTTTCACCAACACTCAGCCCTTTTCCCGGGGCAACCACTGGCTACCACTGCAGCGCTGAGGTCCAAACCCACGAGGGAGACCAAAGGCAGTGGGCCTAATTTCCAGCACACATTCTCTGGATATTGGCCCTGGGCTGGGAGCTGCAGGCTAGACTTGGCCTGCTGTCCCCCGAAGGGCTGTTCTAACCTTCCCACCACACCTTGAGAACACAGTTATTTTTCCTTTGAGGCACCGCCTGCTTGTCCCAGGAGAAGACGCGCATTTCAGCCAGAGCCTGGAGGGGGTGTGTGAATGTATCTTTCAGTCCCGAAAGCCAAGGGTGCCAACTGCTGACAGGCGAAGGAACCTGGATTTGCTCCTTAGGACTTAAAAACATCCGAATGAACATGCTTGCTTTTCTCTGGGTCCTAACTCTCTCGGTCCTGGGTTTTCCTGAGAACTGAGATTGTGTTCATGTTGCAGTGAACTAGTGTCCTGTCCCGGAGCCGAGACGCGCGAACTTGGCGGTCCGTTCATTCATGCATTTGCTCATCCATTCACATAAACACGTCCCTTAATTGTGTCTGGCACAGAGAAATCTTGCCTGCTATTTTCCCCTCCACAAGTCAGTGCTCATGGCAACGGCTGGTGCAGAACGCAACTCGACTGTCAACCCACTTCCTGAGCTAGAAAATCAAGTCAAGTAGGCATTCACTCCATCCCCCCAAGAAGGCGGGGGGTGGGCGGAGAGGAATGGGGGGCTCACTGGGGTCACATTCGAAGCTTTCCTTAGAGGGAAACCGGGGCACCGACATCAAAGCAAGAAAGGAGCCAAATCAGTATTAAATCAAAGACTGCTAGAGCTCGGGTCCCCAGAGGGGATAAATCAAGTGCAAAGCCACTCATTCTCAGGAGTGCGGTGCTGCCGGCTCGAACCAACTACGAGCCGGAGCCGAGGCGCTGGGGGAGCGGCTCGCAGCCCAATCCGCAGCGCGCTCGCCGCCTCCTTATCGCTCCCAATAACGTGATGAAGTGTAAATCAAAAGCCACGTCGGGAGGGGCCCCGGAACGGCGCGAGTCGTGCTTTTTCGCTCACCAGCCTATCTTACCGAAGAATCACAAGGTCACGATAGCGTCGCGATTCCACTCACCGTACACTCCTTGGCCAGAGATCCCCTCCAGGAGGACTGTCAGCAGCCACACGAGACCGTACACTAAATCCATCTTCACGTGAACATGAACATATCCAGCCCAGGGAGGACGCAGCGGG